ACCCGACTCTGCGGTGAGGATTCTCCCAGTAATCGTTAGCACGGTCCCAGGCGCCTGCTCAGCCTGCTCCCCTGCCGGGAGGTGCCCCCAGAGTGCCAAAGAGGGGCCTCTGTCAGTGGCGAGCCTTCCTCACTTTGGGGCCCTCTGGCCACACCTGTGTACACCCGTGGAGAGGGAAGGACATCAGCAAAGGCAAGGTGGAGTTTGCTTGGCTTGAGTCAGGGGCTGGGTGTGGGCAGTGGCTCAACCTCTCACCCGCTGTCCCTGCAGATCCGTAAGGTGCCTCAGGAACACTCAGGGAACGATCGCAACGTCTGCAGAGCTGTGCGGAAGCCGGGCCGCGGGACGTCAACACGAGGCGGTGCTCGTGCACTGGTGAAACCTGGGAACACCTGAAGTGGCCCTGCCTCCCCTCCCAGGTGCTGGGAGGTTTCCTGAGCAAACCCAACCCCCACCCCCTGTACAAGTGGTGAAGAGGCACGCCCAGCACACGGCTGCAGAGGCCTGACCTGGCTGCCTCCCCTGCCTGCAGCACTTGTGACTCATCTCCTTGCGGGCACTTGCTAGGTGCTGGGCTGGATGTAAGTTGGAAGGAAAGGACTAACTTCCGAATCTTGATGAGGAGTCCTCCTGAACCCCTGCCTGGCTGTTACATTTAGGAAAGCCTCAAGGCAGAACAGAGACACCTCACTGCTCCCGGCCCCCAGGGCAGTGGCTAGAGTCAGAAACAGGAGCAGCGCTGGGCTCCTCGCCCCAAGCAGACGCAGGCTCAGTGTGGTCTCCTGTCCCTCCACCGGCTCCAGCCCTCGGTCCCTCGCACTGGCTGACTGAATGTGGGGCACGGGGGGCATCTTTCTCACTCTCTCCTACCTGCAGCTGCTACAAAGCTGAATGTCTCCCACCATGCCACCCTTTTGTTAACGGGAACCTACGTTTTAGGTATATACATGCTATTTCCCCATTTTAACACACGTACACTCTCTCCTGACCCTGGCCCAGGATTGAGAGTCCGGAGGCACGACGGTTTCAGGCCCACTCCCTGAGCGACCCTTTCCCACCCTCCAATCAGGAAAAAGCGGAGGAAAAGAAATACTCAGAAACCTGAAGAGTGTTTGGAATTTATTCTCTTAAATAAGAAGGATAACATTTGTTAAAAAAAAATTAAAAGCATAACACCTTAGTTTCACAGTAACGGAGAAACAACGTTACACAATTAAAAAAAACAACTCACAAAGATACACACCGAAACTCAGAGGAACACAGGTTAGCAACAAGGGCAAACACGAGGCCAGAGGTGGACGGGTGCGGCCTTCCTGGCAAAGCCCTGGCCTCTCTGAACCGCCTGCTCTCTTCCCTACCTCAACAGCCCAGGAAAGGGGTACGGAACCCCTTAATTCACTGGTCAGGCCTTCAAGGCCAAGCTGATGCTCCTTTCAGGAGGGTCTAGGAATGTCCCACTGTCCTACAGACACAGTGCACACCAAGAGACAGCAGCAAGCTGAGGAACGGCCCGGGGAGGCCACACACTGAACGCCAAGTGGCTCTTGGGGTTCTTGTAAGTCACTTTCGGGGGGTGGGCATGTGCACCGCTCACTTTCCGAGACGCTCACCCTGAAGTCTCCCGTGCACCAGTGTGCCTGGCTGCTCCGGCCCTCCGAAAGACTACTCCAGGTCAGGCACAGCTGCCCAGGGGAAATGCCCCCTTGCCTTCCAGAACCAGGGAACAAGACGCTTAGAAAAAGCGTCACCAGTACTGTCACTGTTGCTTAGGACACAACATATAAACATCTACTGCAGGTGAAATTCAACCTGCATAAACACACACGTGTATGTATGTAAATGTTCACAGATCACCATTTACCGTGACTCAGGGTAGGGCTGGGGGTTTAAGCTGGGTACCAAATTCTCTGCTCTACTAATAGGTTTTCCAGAAATGCCTATAAGGGAAGAGGGCTTGAGAAGCAGTGGGAAGATCTCGTAATGTCCTCCTGACGGCCGGAACCCAGAAATGGAATTCCTCATAGCAAGTGGCTGTTCTAGCTGGTGTGGTGGCGAATGCCTGCATTTCTTAATGGCTCATTCAGCATCCAAACTATGGAACCCAGGGGTGACCGTGCAGGGGTGTCTGGGGACGGGGCAGGCACCTGCCACAGCAAGGCAGTCTTTTGTCATCTTTCCGGAAGATGGCAGACGAGGGACTGCTTCTCCCACCCCATCTCTGTCCCTGTGCTGAGAAGCTCCCATCCTTTCCTGTGGTGCCCAGGGCTGTCTGCTTCATTTATGGTTCCCCCCATCTCAGATGTCGAGGGGGTGCCTCTGCACGAGACAAGGACCTAAAACCTGCAACTGAGGGTCTTGTATTCACGGGGATAAGACCCAGCTTGGGGGTCTTCTTTCTGACTGTTGTTGTCCAAAGGCTTCCTACAGTCAGGGCAGGACTGTGAGGCCAGGGTCAGAGAGTCCTGGCCAGGCCCACTGATCTGCATTAGTCAGAATCAGCAGCTTGGAAACGAAGCATTACAGATACTGAGGACAAAAGGAGGTTTCTATATTTAAAGCACATTACAAAGACACTAAAGCAGGCAGCAGCTGTAGGCAAGGCTGCCAGAGACAGACAATGCAGGACTAGGTTCCTCTAACTTGTGGGCTGTTTGGTTTTTGCAATGGCAGTAATTTTGGTGCGTGAGAAAAAGAATGTGCGCGAGAAGAGGGAAACGGGGGCACAGAACAACCAGAGCCACCCAGTCACAGGTCTCCCAGCTCCACCCGGGGGGCAGGAGTCGCACCCCTACGCGCGCAGCTGAGAATGTGGGCCAGGGACCTGGGGCGACGACCACTGCCCAGGACACGGCCTGGAGCCACAGAACACCTGAGTTCTCCTGAAGCTTTTCAAAAGGAAGTTCTAGCTACCAGTCAAAGCTTTCATCTGGGATTTAAAAGAAGAAATCCCCATTAAAGAAGAAAAAGAAGTCGATTTCATGCCAAGGATAGAACACACCTGTGACCCTGCTCCTCCTCTGCGGAGGCCGGGCAGGTCAGACGCCCACCCAGGTCCACACAGGTCTCCAGAGGCTGAAGCCTCTGAAACAACTGAACCTCTCAGGCCCTCGGCGCTGGCTTTCCCACAGCCCAGAGGGCACCTCTAACTGGGGCTCAGGCTGCGGCGGCCCTAGGGCCGTATCTCGACACCCCTGCGCTGTGAGAGGCACGTCACCTTCAGAATCAAGAACGTCCTTGGGCCGCTTCTGCCTTAGTTGTCGTGACTTTACCACATCACCAGCTCTCATCATCTCTCCCTGCGTCATACTGTCTTCTCCTCTACACAGCCCTGAATTCTCCACGACTCCTAAAAACCTGAAGCCCCACGCTCTCAAAGCAGACAGTAAGGCCGGCAAACTGAGCTGGGTGGTGGGTACTCAGCTCACTTGGCCTGACCTCCGCGGGCCTCGCTCTTTAGAAGGCGCTCTGCACCAAAGCCCACAAGGAGGGCTTAGCGCCTTGAGTCGCCTGCCGAGTACCCAGGGGTGCTCAGCCGCTCAAAGGCACACAACGGCGTCTCTGTCTAGACCCCTTTCCTTATGTCATCTGCCAGCTCCCCTGCTGCAAGGCCTGTCAGCCCCTTTGAGAAAGACAGATTACAAAGGGGTTCAAGGCTGTAGAGGCACCAAGTCACTCGTGGCTTAAACATGGCTACAAAATGCTGGTCCCACCTGCAGGACACATGGAGCAGCAGACGCCGAGTTCACCGAGCCCCACTGGATCTGCTTCGTCTCAGCCTCCTGGCACTGCAGCCGGGGGCACCACCTAGCCTCAGGGCACATCCCCCTGCCCCAGAACAGCACCACAAGGATTCCGTCAGTTCTTAAGCATGAGGAAAGGAGTGACTCTGGGAGCCTCCCATCTGAAGGCGGAGTGAATAATTTCTCTTTTTTCCCCACTGTGGAAATTCCACCCCAACGCCCTCTCCAGTTTCTGGCCTTAGCTGGTCATCTTTATGTGGTTTTCATAGGGTGATTTCTAAGAGTCTATAAATGACTGCTTGAGATAGGTTTGCTTTGACACTGTGGTAAGCAGAAACGTGACCTTGATGACTGCTCCCCACTGGCTACAGTGACCCTGGGCCGTGAGCAGCCTGGGGCCGTGCAGGCTGTCAGGACCACCCATGTCTGTGGAACAGTGCCCCACCTCACAGGCTGGTTTGACAGGGCGTTGACAGAGGTGATCTTAAGCAAAAATACACGACTCTTCACAACAAGCCTGGTGCCCCCGAGCCATTCCGTCTCTTGCCCTCCAAGGCCAGAATAAATGTGTTTTTAGAGCTGCGGGTGGTGGCACTCACCTCCTGACATAAGAAGTGGTTAGTGAAAGTGGGACAAATCAGGGCCTGACCCTCGTGAGGAGTGTGAATGCCCTCAAACAGCCAGGACAGGCATGTCCTTCAGGGGCTGCAGGGGAGAGGGAAGAGCAGGGCCAGCTCATCTAGATGCCTAAGCAAGGAAGAGGCCAGAGGACGGAGGAAAGTGGAAGCGGACGCACTTCCGGATCACGGGCCTTGTCCCATTCCATGCTCTGTGTCTGAGGAGCCTGCTGCCTCGCTGGGGTCAGCGCTAACAGCAGCCCGTTCGGAACTCCTGTTTACCTGACAGGGCCTGGGCCAACCCCCAAGGTGTCTGACGGGTGTGGGCGGGTCCCAGGGCTGCAGCGGTCTACCCTGGAGATTCTGCATGGGCGAGGCCGAGCCTGGCGGTGCCACCCCTACTGGCTCACAGTCTGCCAGTGAAACTCCCCTCTGATTTGTACCAGCACCTCTGACAGGCCATAGAGAAAAGGGACTCCAAATGCAAGCAGCTGGCACATGAAAAAGGAGTCCAGAGGGTTTTGGGCCACCTGATGCCCAATCGAGGAGATGTTGTTTTGGAAGTGCTGGCTCATCCCCTTGGCCTTGTCACAGAGGCCGAGAGAGTGACGCACCACCCAGCCAAACAAGGAAGTGAGGCTACCTGGAGTTCTCTCGGCAGGGCTGGCACCGGCGCTGGGCCGTCCGCTGGTGTCTGTGGCGGGGCCGTCCTGCAGGGGCGCCCTGGCCTCCTAAGAGAGTCCGCGAGAGAGGAAGAGGGACTGAGTGGAACACCCCCATCTCAGGAGGCCAGCTCCACCAGGCAGCTGGAGTCACGTCGGGACACAGTCTGGACCACCCGGGACCCCTTTCCCACAGGCCCTGTGCAGTCAGCGGAAGCCCACAGGCCAACACGGCAACACCACATGGTGAAGAGGGCACCCAGCTTCCCCGACAAAGATGGGGCAGGGGCTGATTACTCTCATTAAACAAAAAGAAGATACATAATTCCCGAAGTAAAGTTAAAGGAACTGGCCGCAGAGCTTTTATTTATAGCCAAGTCCTTTTTCAGTGTCCTCCTCTCAGAAAGGTACTTATTTCTGGAGGCAGAGGCTTCTTTTGTACACAGTGAGCAGAAAGGAGGGTCTGACACGGTTTCCAAATCCAACTTCGGTGGTGATGGAACATTACTTTAGTGAGATATAACATGAGATTACGCTTGAAACATTGTTCCCTCCCCAAACAGGACTGTGACCGTCTCTCAGACCGTCCCCATTCACAGGAAAGGCAATTCAGCGGCCATTCAGGGCCTGCCTACAGGCCACACCCTGACCTGTTACTGCACTGGAATGGCACCTGCTACCCCCCACCGCCACCAAGATGAATCACTATTACCTTTCCAGACAGAGGAGCCACTGCTGGTCTCTTCCTCTGTGCAGAGCCGGACAGCCGGTAACAGTAGTGTGGTTTGCAGTAGAATTTACCTGCAGGCACCAAGAGGCGGAGTAAGAGGGAGCGAGCAGGTTCTGAAAATCTGAACTTGATGCCCTAGTCCCCATCCCCCAGCCCCAGCCTTTCCCAGGCCAAGGGTTCCTGTTCAGGGAGGCCAGGCCCTTCTCTCCTGGATGTGTGGAGGCCACGGAGCCATACCCCAATCAGGGCTGAGAGAAGAGACAAGCCTGCGTGGGAGGGCCAGCAGACAAAGCGGCAGTGTGTGGAGAACAGTGTGGCCACATGCAAGGCCAGAGGGGCATTTCTGGAGAAACCAAGAATGAACACAAGTGGTGGAGGCGTGAAGGCTGCTGGGGGTGGGGTGGCACTGACCGTTAACTCTGCCAGAACCCCTCCTGTTCCCCCCACAAGCCATCACCAAACTGCAGCTTTGACCCCTAGTGGGCCAGGATCAGCATTAAAAAACAATACAGAACCAACCAAAAAAAAAAAAAAAATCCTACAACGAACTGTGACTAGAATGAAACAGAATAAAACTAAGAAGCATCAGAGTGCACAGTGGCACCGTCAGTCAAGCGTTACTTCCCACAGGTCTCAGCTGTGCCGCCCAGGACCTCCAGGTCCCGGTGTAACACGTATGCCTCTCCGTGGGTGGGGTCAAGAGTGTGAAAAACATTTTCCCATGAAGCTGGTAGTGGGATTCAGTCACAAAGGGTCATTTTCCCCTCAACTCTTTCTTTACTCCCAGTTAGAGCCAAGGCTTTTGAAAATTAAAGGATAGATCCTACTACAGAAACTGTTGGAACAGGAGTAACCCCACTCCTCCTTCTCATCTGGGGAGCAGTTCCTTTGACAAATGAACTTTCCTGTTCTCAAAACTAGAGAACCTAACCAAAAATACAATAAAAAAGATCAATGAAACTAAGAGTTTTTTTTTGAAAAGAGAAACAAAATTGACAAACCTTTATTATACTAATTCAGAAAAAGAGACAGAAGACTCAAAATTGGAAGTGAAAGAGAAGACATTACAACTGACACCACAGAAACACAAAGGATCACGAGAAACTATTATAAACAATCATGGGCCAAAAGCTGGGTCACCTAGAAACACACAACCCATCAGGTCTGTCATAAAGAAGCAGAAAATCTGAACAGACCAATGTTGACTAAGAAGAGTGAATTAGTAATCAAAAAATAGGGGGAAAAAAAAAGACCTACAAAAGATTGCTTTGGCAACTCGGGGTCTTTCGTGGTTCTGTACAAATTTTGGAATTGTTTATTCTAGTTCTGTGAAAAATGTCACAAGTATTCTGACAGGGGCTGCACTGGATCTGTAGATTGCTTTGGGTAGTAGAGACTTTTTGATTAATATTGATTCTTCCAATCCAAGAGCACAAGATATCTTTCCATTTCTTTGTATCATCTTCAATTTCCTTCGTCAATGTTTTACAGTTGTCAGAGTACGGGAAACCCCGTTGGTTAAGTTTATTTCTAGGTATTTTGTTGTTTTTGATGCAATGGAAATGTTTATGCCAGTTATAAAATTCTGGTTTTTGAAGTGAAAAGAAGAAAAATTGAATGAAGGACCACAAATGGCAAAATATCCTTCTTTTTTATGGGTGAGTTGTACTCTGTTACACACATATGCTGCTGACCCACTGTTGGGAATGCCGCACTCAACAGGTGAGTCCCTCCTTGGCTGCGCCCCATCTCGTCCTTTCCCACCAGCTCAGACTCCCATAAGGACAGGGACGGTGCTCCCGGAACTGCTGAGCCCCATGAGCTCCCCCGCTGAACCCTGTTACACTCTGCGCTGCGCCCTCAGCCCCGGTCACTTTCACACCATCTCACCTGCGTTCCCTGATGGGAGTGCAAGCTCCCATGACCCTTCATCTGCGTCCTCAAGGGAACATGGGGCATGACCTACGGGCAGAGTGCTCAAGGATCAGGTAGCTGGAGCGTGAGGGACTGTCCAGGCAGACGTCAGAGAGGGGGCCAAAGAGAATGACCCAAGCATGGAGGACAGTTAAAAGCACTGGATGGGCTCCCTCCGTCAACTCCTACCTTTGGAGATCAAAGATGTTACCCAAAACCAGGTGTTGGGGACGGGGGCAGAGTCTGACCCCCAGCAGTGCGGACAACTGTCCCAACTCTCCCCTTGCGGGGCAGAACGGAGGGCTGGCTGCCAGAGTGGTGAGTCTGCCTGCTTCCAGTCACCACCGGCTCCTTCCTGCCTCCCTGGGACAGACCTGTCTGGAGACTAACTATTCTGACAGCCAGGATGGCGCGCGGTGCCCCTCCTGCAGGAGGTCACCCTGCAGCCTCCGCAGCCGTGAAGTAGCTCGTCAGCGTGGTGACCTGACACCACCCCATGGGGATCCACCCCCCTCCCTCCTAGTCTAGTTCTTTCTACTGCTTCTGACTCAGTGGGGTTGCCTCTCATGAAGTTCCTTCCACTTCCTGTAGGAATGGGACTAGGAACCATCAGAGCCTCTGTGACCTTTTTCAATTAACCTCAAAGGGTCTTCAGGTGGCAGACCTGCCTCTGTCTGCCTCTCTTTCAGGTTTCATTACCTATCTGCCTCTCTTTCAGGTTTCATTACCTATCTGCATGATTCTCCACCTTCTGCTTTATCAAGGTCATTCCACTCTAAAACCAGCAAACATCACAAAAGGCCTGGGCTTGAACAGCATAGTAACTCAGATTAGGCCCTGAGCAATTCATCAGAGAGAGGCTGATGCTGGAGAGGGCAGTCGTCTTCAGGAAGCTCAAGTAGGAGGACAGGGAAAGGGAACACTGGACCACAGGCAAGAAATGTGACTCCTATAAGCCTGGGATTCTTCTCCAAAGTAAAGACAGAAAGGACCTATTCTCACTGGGTCCCTGTATCTTAAGGCCTCTAGAGGAGTCTGTGAAGCCGAGAAATGACTGAGGTAAACGCACATCCTTCTCACCATTGTTACAAGTAATCTGATACAGACTGGTGACTGCGCAGAAGCTAAGGAGGAGTCTTAGAGAAAATGCAAAGAATAGAGGGGGGAGGCACCGAACGAAAAGATGTGCACGTGAGAATGCAGTGAGAGACCCCAAGATGCACTCGAACGGAGAAAGGCACCCCAGACTCACCGCCCTCAAGGTCGTAGGCGTAGGCTGAGAGGCGCAGGGTGGTGGCGCAGTACTCGCACTTGAAGCAGCTCCGGTGGAAGAACTTGCCCTCGGCACTCAGCCTCTCCATCACGTAGACCCGCTTCTGGCAGAAATAGCACGTGTCGCTGCCCCCCAGGTTCTGTGGGAACTCCTTCTTTATCGAGCCCTGGGGGGAGGCGCACACATCAGGCCAGTGCCTCCTAGGCCCACCTCCCGAGGGCACACTACCCTCCCCGTAAGTGAGGCTGACCCTCACAAAGCAATCTGTGTCTGGGGCATCCAACCAGTGCAGTGATGGTGCCACACAGGCCCGCACAGCACTCGGCACTGACATCAGCTGACAGCCGGGAGGAGCCCTGAGTCTGTTTTACACAATTGCATGACCATCCAACCAAAGAACTTGGACAGATTCTGATTTGAAGGTACTCCTGTGGTTCTCCACGGACACAGGCCTCTGTACTCTAGAGCAGCCACTTGAGATGTATTGAGTACGCTTTCACACAACATTCTAAACAGCGACCTAGAAACTCAGTAACAAAATTCAGACAACCTCAGAAAGAAGTTACCCTGTGGCACATACTGGCTGTGTCCATTACCGAGACACTCAGAACAAACCAGGTTTTATCTACACAGACAGGGCTCTGAGCATATCTCTTACCAGTTCCTTCTTGTCTAGAAGGGTTTTGGGCTGTTCTTTCCTTTGAAGCTGATTGGCTATCTGCTCAGCCAATGAGCTCACTCCGCCCGTGTACATCTTTATGTACTTCTATTGGTTGGAGATTATAAAATAACCAGAATGAAGGGAAATGAGAAGGAAAAAAATAAGTTAAGAAGACAGGAAAAAAACCTTTGACAGGTACAAAATGAATGCAAGGTGCAGCAGCAAGTCATGCCAACACAGTGCCCACAAGCAGGAGCCCTGGTGTCGGTGTCCACACACTGGTGTCAGCAGAGGCAGGAGCATCAGCTACAGCGACAACTCAACTCAGGAAGGAGACCTTGGTCTCTCATGTCTTTCTGGACTACGCAGCATAGGGCAGGGGGAGGCAGGACGACGGGGTGGGCGCAAACAGAGACGAGAGTGGGAGGGACCTCTCTCCAGGACTCAAATCGCACAGAGAGCCCAAAAGGAACACATCCCTCCAAACAGCTGGGCCCAGACTGTGGCGTGTTTCAGGGCCCCGGAGAGGGCATCGGAGGTTATTTCCTCATTTAGAAAGCGACCGGAGGCCCACCTTTGCCCTCGTGACAGACACCAGTTGCCCAGTGTCCCCAGGGAGGCACCCCTCCTCCCTGATAAGGCTTCGGTCGGAGACGTCCTGTGCGGCAGATGCCCCTGGGCTTTATTGGGAAGAACCCTCCTCCCCACGGACAGCCACGTGTTCCACCTGCCCTGAGACCAAGGCCTCCCGGACTGGCTGGGGCACAGCAGGCGGCTACAAGCAGCCCGGCAGGCACGTCACTCGGCATAGTCCTAGGAAGTCAGAATGTGTTTCTAGTCCAGGAGCAATTATTTCTTTATAGGTTGAAAAAAGAAAAAAAATTCAACCACCTCAATCCTCTCTCTAGCAATGCTGAAGAAGGAACAGGAGAAAACTACAGATTTCAGCTGCGAGCCTTCCTGCGGGGGCCCAGCAAACCTCGCGTCCAGGTCACCCTTCCGGGCGGGGGTGACCCCGCCCCCTAGTGTGCGTGATGTGACACACCTCTCGGAGCTGTGTGCCCACCAGGTGCGAGGAGCCTGACGCTAATTCTGAATCAGAAACACGCCAGGAGCAGCTGTCTGAGGAATGCCAACAACCCCATTAGGAAGTGGCTGAACACAGGAATCACCAGCCTGAGCAACAGCATGTCCTGGGCCAGGCCAAGGACAAACAGGAGAAAGGCGCTGGGAGAAACTAACTCTACGTAAGTCTGAGAACCAGCAGAACAGATGAGCAAACAACTCAAGGTTCGGCTGGGATGGAAGAGGCAATTATATTTTTCAATTTAAAATAAAGAGATTCCAGAGATTGGTGCCATCTGCTCATTAACTCCGCAGCTTACAGCCCTCGGTGGTCGAGAAAAGCAAGTGGCTCTTAGACCTAAACCTTCTTTGGATTAGAAACATCAGGGAAGCTTAAGCCTGCAACAGACAGAGAGCAGGCAGAGCCAGGCAGGCCAGCTGACAGCTGACACCAGGGAGTAGAAAACTGCACTCCCCTCGTTCTACGGCAGATAGCGAGGGCGTGGACCAGCAGCCAAGTGTGAGGCCGGGACCCTGAGCAAGCCCTGCAGGGGCCCTCATTGCTCAGCCAGGACCCTTCTCTCCCACCAGAAACCAGCGCCCTCAGGAATCACAGCCCCAGGCCGTCTGCGTGAGAAGGTATCCGTCAGTTCTGCTCTCAGAGCTGGGTCATGGTGACAAGCACACCCCCAGGAGGGTGGAGACTCAGGTCTATCTGTTTCTGGCAAGAAGAGTAGATGGCTTCCTTCTCCCACTTGTAAGGAACAGTCGAAATGCAGCAGCCTCTGGACTCACACTGCTGTCACCATACCTGTACAGGCCTCCACACACAGGCTCCAAGCTCAGGAGCACGGCACAGACAGAAAGGGCAAGAAGATCCTCCAACCTTGCTGTGCACTGCTCTCCAGTGGGACCAGTTCCACTGCAGGAAGCAGCAGGGTTTATTCCTTAAATGATTACAAATCAAGAGGCTCCTGGAATACCGCATATTCACCACTCTGTTTAAGAGATTTAACTGCACTATGGTCCGTGTTTTGTAACACATCAACGCGAAGACATCTGGAGTTTAAAAAAGCTAACACCTGAAAACCGTTTTATCGTTAGTTGGTACAGCTGCACCGTGAGGAAAGCGGGTTTACTCGGGCAGAGTCTGCTCTGACGACAGCTGGCAGTCTCCTAACCGGGGCCCGGCTACCGACCTCTCACGCACGACAGGCACACACGTGGGACTCCTAAGGAGACAGGTGGGCACTGTGCAGGTGAGGTGAGCGGAGGCTGCCAATCCCAGGCATGCTACCTGTCGGAGGGAGTCAGAGGAGGGAGAGGCAGGGCGGCTGGAGGAGCGGAGGCTAAGAGAAAGCTCCCACTGGTCAACAAGAAATCGACGAGAAGGCTCAGGCTCTGGCTATAAAATACAAGGCGGAAAAGACAAATCAAAGGAAACATTAAATTACAAGTTGCACACTAACCTGACATAAGGAACTTGGCAGTTTCAGACCCTTTATCTAAATGGCAGATGCAACAAGGAAACACTCAGTCCCAGAAGCACCAATGGCTCGCTGCAGGTTCCCACTGGCCCTCAGCTCACCAACCCTCATGCTCACAGCCACGCTCGCGCTACAGCACGGTCCCATGGCCGTGAGCCCCTCGGAAGCCGTGTTTTCTCTTACTCAATGCCCCATCCGCCCACCCGGGTGCATAGCACAGCCAGCCAGGAGGCAGTGTCCTGCTCACATAGGCACTTTGTGCTCAGGCCTGAGCTGGGGTTTCTCTCTGGCAGAAGGAGATTCTACCACCTCATCACTCTGCCAGCCTTACAATGAGCGGACAGTAGAGACAGCACGTCTGGAGTGAAGCCTGAACTTTCTACACAAAACCCAGGAATGTGGCTTCTCCTACTCCTGCTGGTGCTGAGAAACTGCCTGCCTCAGAGCCCGCCCCTAGTCTTCTGCAGACCATAAGCAGTATGTGGAGCAAAGGTGGCTCGAGCAGCCAGGACTTCTCTGGTCCCCAGAGAGAAAAAGCAGCTGAGAGCCCGGCAAGCAGTAACTGCCTGGTTTCCCACACGTTCAGGGGGAGAGACCTGCAGAGCACAGGGAGGGGTGCTGTCACAGTGATGAGAAGCCCTGGCCCCTCAGCCCTCTACTTCAGCTCAGAGCGGCTCAGAGAAAACAGGGAGAGACTGAGCTCCCTGAACGGCAGAGCTGTGGGGCGGAGAGCAGGTGCGTGCGCAGGCTGGTTATGAGCCGTGGAGGGAAGGCCCTAGATGGAACATAAACCCTCAAAAGTATCTATCTGGACAGGAGACCTGCACTGAAGAATCTGGAAACCAGCCCACCGGGAAAATTAGAAAAAACTGCCCGCAAACTTTCCTGAGTTCAAAATCCCACCTTTCCTGCTGTGCCCTGCAGCCCCAAACTTCTGACAGCTTCTCCCTCTCATCTCTCCTTTCATTCAACACACTTCTCTCCACGGAGGCACTGCTTCATTACACACCTCAGGACCTCATTCAGTACGCAGTCCCCAAAACGAAGGCCATTGCCCTGTTCAGTGAAAATGCCTAGTTTTCTTTTTGAGAGGAACCAGCTTGTGAAGAAGGAAGAAACGGGCTGGCTCATGCAGTGCCCGTGGGAGGACGTGGTGCGAGGCGCCGCAGCCCCTCCGGTCTCCTGGGCAGCCTACCCTCCGCTCAGTGATGCGGGAAGATGGCTCTGCACTCCCAGGGGAGCAGCAGCAAAAGCGGAGGCAAAAATAAGAGAAAAAGGCTCTTGTGAAACTAACAGACATGATTCTTCACTGTCGCCATAGAGCTAGACCCACTCAGGGGTCAATTAAGGGTAATAGCAACAACCAAAAAAGTTTCACAAAATTTGCAGGCTTTTAAAAATGGGCATCTCTGCTACTCATCAGACCATATGCTGGCTGGTGTGAGCAGTCACTTCCTCCTTCAGTTTCTCAGAAAAGGCTAGCTGAAGCCTCACACCACGCACCTGATCTTGTCATCACCTTCCTTCCCCCACCCCTGTCCTCTTTATAGCTGAAAAGCCCCCAGACTGGTACGAGCTTGGTATTTCTCTCTCAAGATCCTGGACTTGCAAAAGAGCCAAGCAAACACCCCCTGCTTACTGATCTAGACCCCTCCCCAGTGGTCAAAGGCTATCCCTCCACTGGCGCACACTTGGGAATGGGAAGGTGAGTAGGCAGTGCAATCCGATCAGGCTGTCCACAGAAGCACAGACTCTCAGGATTCGCATCCAGTCTGAATGCTGAGTGGACAAATGCTCTACCGTAAATGTGATCTGTATGGGTCATCACTGTTAGAAAAGAGTTCTGGCTCTTGGCTGGGTGGCAAGAGTGTGCAAAAAGCAAAGGGTGAGGGGCCGCACCAACTTTCCCTCTACCCTCCTCACCCCCGCGTGCCCCATCTGTCTGGCTGCCAG